CTCAATAATATTGGTCTGGAAAGCATAGGGCTGTCAACCCATATGGTTTACCCCGTATTCTTGTACGGGGAAATTGAGTTTTCATGTCCATATGGCGTACAGCCGTTTCAATACTGGATTTGTAGGATGAATATTGAGATTTACACGGGGTGACCAACAAGGTCTGAATTGGTCTGTAATAATGTAGGGGCACCGATAAGGGGTTGACAGGGATGCTATACACTACACTATACACTACATTACTAAACACTACACACTATACCATACCGTGTCAACCCATACGGTTTACCCCGTATTCTTGTACAAGGGAATTGAGTTTTCAGGTCCGTACGGCGTACAGCCGTTTCAATACGGGCAACAACGATTACATAATTTGTCTCTTTGTGCTTCTCCCTTGTAATGGGACTATGTTGGATGGACGTTGAGATTTATTAGGGGCCCGGGGTGACCAATAAGGCTCTAAATTGGTCTGTAATAATGTAGGCGCACTGATAAAGGGTTGACAGGGATGGGAAAGCCACTAGGGTGATGGACTCAAAGCTTATTTTAATTGACACGTGGGGCGACAATGATCGGAGGTCTGCTTTGTATACTCTCTTATCCTCCAAAGACAAAGATCCCCTGTATAACCTACAGCAGGCTGTTGGGGCAAGTGCTGTTAGTGAGCACCTATTAAGGACAGCGCGGCGCACGAGCGGTGGGTTGACCAGCACCACACCTGGATGAGTCGACCTAGGGGAGGCCTGGGACAAGCTCAAATATTCACTGTCACTGTTATTGGTCATGAGCGGGAATCGAACTCTGGTCGCCGCACTGCGCTACGAACCTCTACACTACTGCTCCCCATAACACAAACACAAAGATCCTCCGTATAGCCTTAACAGACTGTAGGGGCAAGTGCTGCTAGCGAGCACCTATGAAGGCCGGCATGGCCCACGACGGGGTGGGTGGCCAGCACCACGCCCGACCGCCTTTGTCTCCCCAATTTACACGCCGCACAAGGTACTCATTTGAGGCCGAGTCGACCTAGCGGAGACCCAGGATCAGTTCGGATAATCGTCGCTGGTGGTGGCCGCGAGCGGGAATCGAACTATCGTCACCGAGTTCGTAGCGCGGCGTGCTGACCACTTCGCTATCGCTCCCCACAAAGACAAAAGACTCCCCGTAGAGCCTTAACGGACTGCAGCAGCAAGCGCCGCAAGCGAGCACCTTCGTTAACCCACAACAAAGACAAAGATCCCCCATATAGCCTTAACAGACTGTAGGGGCAAGTGCTGTTAGCGAGCACCCACAACACACACACACACACAAACGCACGTAAAGCGACGCACGCTCTCACACTCGTTCACTCGCCACCCCCCACCCCGACCATCGCCCGCCCGCCCGCCCGCCATCGCTGCCCGGCGAGCGATTCGCGGTTCGCTTCAACCCCCGACGGAGCCGGCCCCATCGGGCTGAGCCACGGCCGGGGAGCGAGGGGGGGCTGGGGGCGGCCGCTTACGCACGGTCGGTGACGCGCGCTGTGCTCGCGGGAGCCTCGCGTGACGCGGGGCGCCCTTCCCACGTCCCCCGCGGCGTCCGCCAGACGCCACCTGTTCCTGCCGCCTCCGGCTAAGGTTGCAACGCGCGCCCCAATTATAGCGGCAACCTCCGCCTGACTGCCGCTCGCCTGAGAGAGCGGCGGGCTGCTGGGGCAGCGGTGGCTCGGGGATGCTGGTGGGCAGACCTCACGCGCCCCCGGCGTGCGCTTGTGTAGCAGCGCGTGCGTGTGTGTGTCTGTGTGTCTGTCTGTGTGTGTCTGTGCATGTGTGTGTGGCTATGCGTCGTGTGTGAAGGGGAGCGGTGGTGTACCGGCTGGCGCGCTGCGCTATGAACCTGGCGACCCGGGTTCGATTCCCGCTCACGGCCAACAGCAGTGACGATGATCTGAACCGGTCCTGGGCCTACCCTAGGTCGACTCAGCCTCAAATGAGTACCTGGTGCGTTGTGTAAACATCGCCACTGGGGAGACAAAGGCGGCCGGGCGTGGTGCTGGCCACCCACCCCCTCGTGTACCATGCCGGCCTTCATAGGTGCTCGCTAACAACACTTGCCCCTACAGTCTGTTAAGGCTATACGGGGGATCTTTGTGCCTGTGCGCCGCGCGTGTGTGCGGCTGCACCCGTGAAGGCCGTCGCAGCGCACCACGGAGTGGAGCTCCATCGGTGGAGAATACCCGCACCGGCTTTGGGCCCCTGCCAGGGAGACAAAGGTCGGCCGAGCGCAGTGCGAGCTCCACCGCCCCCTCATAGGCGCTCACCGACTCTTGCCCCGGCAGTCTGTACGGCTACGCGAATCCAAGCTATGGACCCACGCGGTAAACCCACTGTGGTCTGCACTCCTTCAACCGAGCAGGAGGAAGAGGACGAACAGCTGCACGAACTCTCTCCTCTCTCTAGAGACGACTCTACTGAAGCCCCTCTCTCTGGTCGTGGCCAGCAGCAGCAGACCCCGACGCTGGCATCAAGCTACTGAAGCACACTGCCAGAAGCAATAAAGTCACGGCAATACAGGGGAATGTTTAACTCGTAGGCGCTCGCGACCGATATAGGCTCACAGTGAGGGCTTCACAATCATTAAGCAATTTTAAGTTCAACCTAAAAACTTTTTTAAAACCTACTTTTACTTGAGATCATTTTACAGTGTTATTTTTATTATAATGAAATTTTGTTTGTATGGAACTTGCTTTTATCGTTCTTGCGCTTAAGTCTTTTAACAATGTTTTATTTTATCTGTACAGCACTTTGAATTGCATCTTTTGCACGAAATAGTACATTAGAAATAAAGACTTGATTGATGGACAGTAATAATATCACCTCTACTCCTATTTAAGTCCGAAACAGAAAGACTTCACAGTTCTGGCTGTCACCTAAAGAGGCTGGTTGTAGTTACCGGCGAAACGTGACGGTACTCGAAATTTAAATGTTGTGGTGGGTTTACTCCCCAGCACACAACCGGTGTGTGTGGCTGACCTAGTAACAAATTAGGCACGTGTTGTTCACGTGACACAAGCTTACTAATTGGCTGTGTCGTGGGGGTGCTGGCGGGTTTAACGACACATTTCACATTCACGCGATCTATCCCAAATACCTCTGTTATGGATAACATTGGTCGCGTAAAGCCTACTTGTTGATCTGCGGAAGCATATTTTGCGGCACTACATTTGAGATCCCTTCAAGTGAGGAGTCAACAGTCAGACTATATTGATTTGTGCTGGGTGGAATCCGATGAGCTACAAAACTCTTTTTCACAGATGTCCAGTTGGGGCAAGGGGTTTGTATTTACGCGATATAAACCCGCAACAAAAACTCTTCCTTCTGGATGTAGAGGGATTTATTTTGGTGTGCGCGTGCGTGTGCATTAGCTGGGAAGCATCTGACGCGCGGAGACGGAGCGATCGAATCGGTTTGGCGTGCAGGCGCCAGGTCGACCGCGACACCGCAAGATCGTGAGAGGCGGCGACGGCTCGGGGGAAGGCCGTCGCCGGCCAGCAGCGGATAGACCGTCGCGGCCGCTGACGGGGCTGATGAACGAACGAACGGGATGTCCCCCCCCCCCCCCCCGTCCTGCGCGTGCCCCCCGCCGCGTCCTTGTCTACTGGCGACGTTCCGCCCCCCACCCCCCACCCCCCACCCCCAACCCCGTTCGCAAAGAACAGCGCGAGTGCCAAATTCCCCGTAATTCGGCCAGGGCGCTTCTCTCCGCCGCTGGCTGGCGGCCTCCCCCCCGAGCCGCCCACGCGGATCCATCGGCTCCCGTCTCCCCGGTGGACGTCCTCCACACAGAGGCCACCATTCGGTCTCGCCACGCTCAGTTCCCGCTTATCCCGAGCGCCGCTGTTGTTTCTTGCTGCTGCTGCTGCTGCCGCCGCTGCCGCATCCCATGTTAACACGCGGTGAGGAAAGGCGCTGGAGTCGCTGGCGCTGGAGTCGCCCCCGTCACCGCCCGAGCGGTGACGCACGCTCGGGCGGGCTGCTCGTTTCACAACAACAACGCCGACGCCGCCGCCGCCGCCGGTGTCAGGACACGGAGAAAATACAACACCCCCCCCCCCCACGCCACCCCCCCTCACGCCCCCCAATGCCCCCCCCCACGCATAGCAACAGCAACAACCCCCTTGCTGCGGTTACCAAGAGGGAATTGACATCGCGGCAAATATTACGCACATTCATGAAGTGGCTGGAAAAAAAAAAATAACAAACGGCATTTAATCTCCGCGCAAGGTTTTCGGGGTCGCGTTGCCGCTGCGGCGTCATTCGGCAAAGGTGTCTCCGACGTTTCGCTCCACGCGCCGCGAGCTTTTTCAGGAACTCGACTTGAATGCTGCGTTCCGTCAGACCGCGGGGGCTTTTCCCAACGAATGCCATCACGGAATATTATCCACAAAGGCTCAGCGCTCCTCCTGCGCCGAGTAGGAGGAGTGCTCCTGCCAACGAACACCCAAGAAAGCCAGTGAGAATTCCGCCGAATAAAAACATTAACCGCGGTGCATTCGTGCACGAAGCTCTCTGGCAGGTGTCGTGACAGGCGCTGCTGCAAGCTCCGACACCGGTGCCCGTCGAGCAGCATCGGCTTCCGGTTGCCAAACGAACGCGTTGATGAGGTTGCACTCATTACGCACACAAAGCGCTTGGAGCATAAACCACCATCGCGCGCAAACCCCCCCCCAGACCTCCGATTAGCACGGTTGGCTACGTACGGCGCAAAAGAAGTTCAACGTACGTACCGACGACTCTTATTTCAGGCAGCTCCTGCCAAGCTTTGCGCGCTAGGTGGGTGGCGAAGTCAACACGCACGCATTCGACAAGGCCGACCCGCTGCTGATGAGATCCAGAGGGTCGCTGCCAGTCTGCAGAGCTTGAGCCCACGGCAGCACAGGGTCTCAAGTGCCGGGTGGCAAACCGAGGCAGAGGAGGTAGCAAAAGGGTTCAGGGACCGGGGGTTGAACCGGGCTCACTCACCTCATCTGGCCGGCCATGTGGCTTGGTCACGGTCGGCAGTCCGGGTCTGCCGATCTTCCGCCACTGCCTCTTCCCTCCTGCCAAACGGGCAGCGGTGCACAAAGGTGAAACGAATCAACGACGGTTCAACGCTGTTGTGCGTGCACGTGTGTGTGTGTGTGTGTCGGACGCCTTCCTCCATCCAGACACGGGGAAAAACAAATGAAATTGTCCGGTAAATGATCGCGCCAAATTTATTGTGGGCCCCCGCGAACACTGGTGCATTGAAAGGACGATCCACGCGCGCCGGACATGCTGGTTGCATCATCAGGCAATTTCCCGATGATGCCGATAATTGTAACTTACCGGCGAAACGTCAGTACCTGGATCGCCCCTCCCGCATGGCGGTGGTGCTCAAGCAATCCTAATAAATCGGCGCGTTTGTTCACGTCACAACCGTGTTTATGAGGCCGTCGGGTGTGGATTGCTTACGACAAAGCAACGAAGACAAAGATCCCCAATATAGCCTGAACAGACTGTTGGGGCAAGTGCTGTTAGCGAGTAGCACCTATGAAGGCCGGAAGGGCACGAGAGTGGGTGGGTGGCCAGCACCAAGCCCGACCGCCTTTTGTCTCCTCAGTGGCGATGTTTACACATCACACCGGGTACTCATTCGAGGCTAAATCAACCTAGATGATCACCAGGACCGGTTCAGATATTTGTCAACGGTGTAGGCCGTGAGCGGGAATCGAACTCGGGTCGCTGGGTTCGTAGCGTAACGTGCTAACCACTACACTACCGCTCCCCACGACACACACACACACACTCACGCAGCAAACCGTGACCCCGAAATAATCGATACATGAATCACAATAACATTGGCGGCCAGGGCCTCCGACGTGTTACAATCAATTAGGGGTTTCCGCGTCCCCAGGGCTAACCTCGGCCTGAAATGAGCAATGCCCGGTGCGGTGAATCCTGGACTATCATCAGCACCGGAGGGCCACCCTTGCGACACGCACGCATGCGGCCTCTCGTGCCGATTCACTCGCAGGGGAGAAGGGCCTCCCCCCCCAAGCGCAATGCGTGCGGGTCGTGGCAAGTTACATTTGAGCATCCTCCACACGCGTTGGTCGGCGCAGGTCGGGCGAAGGTGGGGAGCACGGACGTCGGAGCGCGGTGCAGTACAGCATCTCGCCACGGTGGGAGTGATGTTAACTACCTCGCGTGGTATGCAGGAGGTCGTGGGTTCGATCCCGACCCTGACGCCAGCTGTATATTTGCAGTTTGCGTGTCTCTCTCTCTCTCCCCATGGTCGCGTGGATTTTTCTCCGAATCCTCCGGTTTTTCCCTCCATAATTAGAATCAACATCACCACGCGTTCAGAGCATTCGGCTGCTAGAAATGTCCACGTGATGATGATAAGCTGCCACCCGTTGAGCTATAATTTGTGGCCAGGCCCGCTTCTGAAATAAAGCTGCAAAGTTCGGCGGGTCTAACCTGGTAAAATAAAAAATAGTTTAGTTTTAGTTTCTATGCACTTCATCACGTGCTGGTCACTCACCCATTCAATCGCTACCCAGGGCGAAGGTTAAATGGGGGGCCTGTGTCTTGCATGGCTTGTTGTGTGTATGCACATATATGTGTATGCACATACATGTACCGGGCATGACACTGGGGATGGGGGAGGTGGGGGGGAGGAAAGCGGTGGTACAGCTGTTGGCGCACTGCGCCACCAACCCGGCTACCCGAGTTTGATTCCCAACATCGGTGACGAATACCGAACCGGTCCCGGGCCTCTCCCAGTTTTTGACTCGGCCTCATGAACACCCCGGTGCAGTCTCTTAAACGTTGGTGCTGGGGAGACGAAGGTGGCCGCCCACGCCCCTTGTGTGCCACGTCGACCTGGATAGGTGCTTGCTAACAGCACTTGCCTTGACGGTCGGTAGGGAAAGGTCTATCAGGGGCATGTTTATCTTCGCGTGTTTTTTTGTTTTTACCGGGTTTGTAGTCGGAGTCTTCGCTGCAGCTTGAGTCGCTGCCCCTCTTCATTCTGGCCTGCGCATCGCAAACGCACGCACGCACGCACGCACACAAGAGGTTATTAGGCAAAATAAGAGTGCGCAGCAGTGTCCCACACTCGCCGCTCGGCGTCATCGGTGACCATTGATCATCGCGACCGCGCCAAGGTAGGTGCACACAAGTTCGCTGTGTGTGTGTGTGTACAGAGTGGGGTGACGGTGGTGTAGCGGTTAACGCGCTGCCCTACGAACCCCGCGACCCCATTTCGATTGCCGCTCACGGCCGACACCGGTGACGGTTATCTGAACCGGTCCTGGGCCTCCGCTAGGTCGACTTAGCCTCGAATGAGTACCTGGTGCGGTGTGTAGTAAACATCGCCACTGGTGTGACAAAGGCTGGCCACCCCACCCCCTGGTGTGCCGTGCCGGCCTTCATAGGTGCTGCTCGCTAACAGCACTTGCCTCAGCAGTCTGTCAATACGTTAGAGGGGTTCTTTGTCTTAGTCTTATACTGCTGGGCAAAAGCCTCTCCATGCCGTATCGGTAACGGGGGTTGTGTGACCATACTCCGCTATGCTGGTCAGTCAGTGCACGCTGGTGTATATATGTTGAACTTCTTGGGGCCCCAGAACCGGCAGATATCACTCATCACTGGTCTTGTGTCTAGTTTGTTGTCCTTCCCCCCGCACCTCCGATCAGCACGGTTGGCTACAGACGGTGCGAAAGAAGTTGAACATACATACTACACTACACTATACACTACTCTACACTACACACACTACGCTATATACTACACTATACACTACTATACACTAAAAACTACACGAAACACTACTATATGCTATACACTACACGATACACTACACTATACACTACACTACACCCACTACGCTATATACTACACGATACACTACTATACACTAAAAACTACACGAAACACTACTATACACTATATACTACACTACACACACTACGCTATATACTACACTATACACTACTATACACTAAAAACTACACGAAACACTACTATACACTATATACTACACTATACACTACACACGACCATATACGGCACTACTATACGTTATACTATACACACTACGCTACACGCTACACTATTAAACACTACACTACAACCTACTATACACTACGCTATACTATACACTACTATACACTATACACTACTATACACTAAACACACTACGCTATACACTACTATATACACTACACTATACACTACTATACACTACACACACTACGCTACACTATACACTACTATACACTACACTATACACAGTACACTATTCTATACACTACTACACACTACGCTATACAATACGCTATACAATACACTATACACCACTATACACTAAACCATACTAAATTGACAACCCATTTCTTTAGAACTGCTCTTAGTCGTTAGTTTGCTGTCCTTCCCCGCCCACCCCGACACCTCCGATGAGCACGGCTGGCTCCGTACGGTGCGGAAGAATTTAAACTTGCGTAGATTCACGTTTCGTACGACGGACACAAAGACAACAACAACAACAACCGCCATTCGCCACTAAGTGGCGGTGACGTCACCACGACGCTTGTGCCAGGCCATGTGCACCTTGAGGCCACGTGAAGTGTCGAACGCCCGCTGGCAGGAGGTCACGGGACAGACCCAGCAGGTGCCAAGGGTCGACTGACTGAGATGACTGGCTTATGCACCACCTGTACCCCCTACTGTGCCAACCTGCTGTGCTTTAGCCACCCGGCGCTCCGCTCGTTGTTGTGAGCGTCGCTCCTCCGCCCTCCGTTGCTGTTGGAGGGCGACTGCCTCCAAATGCCTCCAACTGCCCAGTAGCAGCGTCCTTCACGAGCCTCTTCCACCGAGGCCAAGATTATTAGTTACATATTTCAGTCGTGGTTTCGTGGTAAAAATGTTGATGGTGGAGGGGTTACCAGCCCCTCGCACCCGTCCAGAGCCCCACACAGAGACACACACGTATGCAGACACACGTACGTTGGTGCGTGCGCGCCACCGGGGAATCGAATCTCGGTTCGTCAGATCCATCGCGCCGCACCGCATCGCGGCGATGCAAAGTGCAGCTTCCCTCGCGTTGGTAAGCGGCGTCAGCACGTCAACACGATCGCCTGTGTCTCACGAGTTGCCTTCGTCGTGGCAAGAAGACCGACGGTTGTGGCTACGGGCGCAGCGGTCCCTCGGTTAACGGCGACATCAAGTTCACGGCTTTTGCGGTGAACGCTTCGCCTCCCATAGAGCACCCCCACGGTTTCGAGTGACAATATTTTGATGTAACGGTAACGTGTTCACGTCACATGTGCACGTGAAGTGCACCAATTTCTAAACCGCTCGGCGATGACGCACATCGCCGAGCGGTTTAGACCTCAACTGGCTTTGTTTAATATTCTACGTTTTCTGTCTTTGGGCAGTGTAGAAACAGCTCTCTTGCTGACCAGGTGACATTTTTTTTTACTTATTATTTACAACTTATAAGTGAATTCGATTGATGGTTATTTTGCTTTATGGTAGTTTTCGTGGAACGGATTTAAAAAAAAAAAACGTTAACCGGCGGACTTGCTGTACCCAGGAAAGCCTCACGACCCAGTCTCAAGACTCTCGAGTCAGCAGGATGCTTTACCCAATAGAATTAAAGAGTATGGATCCTTGCAGTCACGAAAGCTTTAAATCTAGATGCTGCCACACTTTGGCAGTAAGGGGGCGCGACCGAGAGAAGTTTTTCTGGCAAACGTCTCGGCACAGGCGATCGTTTGGCCAATACCAAGGTCACACGGCTACGGCGGGAAGCTGGAGGCGTGTGGAGGAAAACCCCCCCACGTGCACAGAGAGAACTCCCGCACGCAGAGGACGGCAACCAAGTCTAAAGAGTGCACGTTCAGAAACACGCATGGGGGTTAGAAACGAAGTGATGAGATATGAAGGCCTCGTGTACGGTAAGTTGACATGAATGGTTATTGCGTTTGACGGTAGGGCAAGGAACGCACTAACCCCCGTCTCCCCCGATACCTTGCGCCAATAAATGTGCGAACAAAATAAAAACAACCTGTCAATCAATACTCAGTGGATCTCATAAAACGGCGAGCATCCTATCACAACCGGCTCAGAAGAAGAACGAGCAGCTTCACAACTCAAGGCCGCAAGATGCAACGCCATACCTGAAGGTGATCCAGCCCATCATCACCTCTCACCGAGGGGTTGATAAACGAATAACCACTTAGCGGAGAAGTCCACAGCGGTTGTTCCATGGGTGGACTCACCCCCACCACCATGCGGTGTCCACCACTCGCATAGGGCTGTGAACGAGGAGTAAACAGCGGAGTCTGCGTGTCGCTCTCTCTCATCATCCTGACCCTGACACCTGCTGTATATTTGGATTTTGCAGTATCTCTCATCATCATCACGGTGGCCAGGAGATGTTAACTATTTCGCCGGGTATACAGCAAGTCGATGGTTTGATCCCGTCCCTGACACTTGCTGTATATTTGGATTTTGCAGCATCGTTCATCATCACGGTGGCCAGGAGATGTTAACTACCTTCCCCTCGTATACAGGAAGTCGTGGGTTCAATCCCGACTCTTGAAGCCTGTCAGGGTCTCTCTCCCTCCCCGTGGTCGTGTGGATTTTTCTCCGGGTCCTCCGGTTCTTCTATACACATTTACAAACATGTGATTCGAATATTTGCCTTCTGTGTGTGTCCACGTGCTAAGCCACTTCGTTGAGCTGTCATTTTTGATCGCCAGGTCGCTTTTGAAAAAAAAAAAAACAGCTACATAGCTCAGTGGGCCTTAACTGGTAAAATAAAAAATAAAATAGGTTTAGTTCCATACGGTTTCAGTCTTTTAAGGCCAATAGAATAACTTCGATCCTGTATTTTACTGGAAGCTATTGCAGGGAATGAAGAATCGGTGCAATGTGCTCATATTTTCTTTGCTGCTGCCCATGCAGTCTGGAACTGCTCCCTTTGCCTCCCTGCACTGCCGTTGCAATCCCCTCATTCAAGTCCAGGCTCTTGACTTTCCAATCCTCCTCTGCCTATGACCGAATGTCAAGCCACCACCTTTCTGAAGGGCTCACCAAGGACACAATGGGATGCTCCTCCCTCCATCAGCCCCGCCCACTGCACAGGTAGCCCCGCCCACTGCACAGGTAGCCCCGCCCACTGCTCACCCCGCCTACTTGTTAGGTCACCCCGCCTACTGCTTAGGTAACCCCGCCTACTGCACAGGTAACCCCGCCTACTGCACAGGTAACCCCACCCACTGCTCAGTCAACCCCGCCTACTGCTCAGGTAACCCCGCCCACTGCACAGGTAACCCCGCCTACTGCTCAGGTAGCCCCGCCCACTGCTCAGTCAACCCCGCCTACTGCTCAGGTAGCCCATCCCACTGCTCAGTCAACCCCGCCTACTGCACAGGTAACCCCGCCTACTGCTCAGGTAGCCCCGCCCACTGCTCACTCACCCCCGCCCACTGCCAAGGGAACCCCGCCCACTGCTCAGGCAACCCCGCCTACTGCTCAGGCAGCCCCGCCTACTGCTCAGGTAGCCCCGCCTACTGCTCAGGTAACCCCGCCTACTGCACAGGTAACCCCGCCTACTGCACAGGTAACCCCGCCCACTGCTCAGGTAGCCCCGCCTACTGCACAGGTAGCCCTGCCTACTGCACAGGTAGCCCCGCCTACTGCTCAGGTAGCCCTGCCCACTGCTCAGGTAGCCCCGCCTACTGCTCAGGTAGCCCCGCCTACTGCTCAGGTAACCCCGCCTACAGCTCAGGTAGCCCCGCCTACTGCTCAGGTAGCCCCGCCTACTGCTCAGGTAGCCCCTGACTGGACAAGTAACCCCGCCTACTGCTCAGGTAGCCCCGCCTACTGCTCAGGTAGCCCCGCCTACTGCACAGGTAACCCCGCCTACTGCTCAGGTAGCCCCACCTACTTCTCAGGTAGCCCCACCTACTGCTCAGGTAGCCCCGCCTACTGCTCAGGTAGCCCCGCCTACTGCTCAGGTAGCCCCGCCTACTGCTCAGGTAACCCCGCCCACTGCTCAGGTAGCCCCGCCTACTGCTCAGGTAGCCCCACCTACTGCTCAGGCAGCCCCTGACTGGACATCTGTGATATAAAGAGCTGCATAGCTCATCAGATTCCTACTCCTGCAGTATAAATAAAGATTCTGATTGTGATGGGGCCCGA